AACCAAAAATTTAAAAAAAAATCATTTTTTTTTAATAGGCCCGGTCGGGACCGGTTATGGGACCGGGACCGGTTGGGACAACCGGTTACTAATAACCTTGACCGGTTACAAGGAAAATCACCGAGACCGGGACCGGTTATGTCGGGACCGGTTACCGCCGGTTTTTGTCGCGATTAGGCCCAACAGGGACCGGTTAATGGGCTAAGAAAAGCCCATATTGATTAGATTAATGGGCTAAGAAAAGCCATTTTGACTAGCAGTCATGAGTGGAAGTTGACCATACGAGTATACGACACATGTGAAATTAATGGTTTTTTATTTATTCAAATAATTATAATAATCGAACGTTTGGAAAACCAAAAAAGAATTGACTTTTTCTTTTAAAGCCCATAACATTAACATACCCCACAAGCCCACATGTGTCCTACCAAAAAAGGAATCCAACTATATACATATAACTATATATATATATATATATAGTTTTTTTCTTTAAAAATTTATATCGATTATCATATGTTACATGATTCCATATCTTTAATTTTCATTTTTCTTAGTCAAACTAATCATTTTTCTACAATTGTTTATAAACAAATTATATAATGTTTAACACAGTTTGTAAAAAATTGTTTCAATTAAAAGCATTTTATCATTACTTTTATCTGATCAACGAAACTGATAATTTTATATTTGGTTAATTAAAATAGTATGCAAACATTCTTAAAATATTTACGAAAGTTCATTTTAATGTATAATTTTGATAAAATGTATTTAAATTAAATATCTAAAATGTTGCAATAAAATGATTAAAAAAATAATATTTAAAGTCACATATATACTATATTATAATGTATTTGACAAAAACTATTAAAAACCACTTTTTATACGTAAAGTATTGTTTATTAATGCATATTATTTAAAACTCAAGATTGCAAGTAGATTGTGCGTAAGTACAACTTATTAAAGATTCATATTTGAATTTGTGTAACTAACTGCAGATAAACATAATCAAATACAAGATAAACATATCATTTTAAATATAAAAAATCTAAAATATAATTAGGATAATTATTAAGTTCTAACAGAATACTTAATTATTATCTTTATGAAATGTTATATTATTAAACAAAAAATAAATTATTTCGTTATTAAACTTAAATTAAATTATAATAAAAATAATAAATTACATAAAAAATGTGTACTTTTAAATAGTGATTTTGATATTAACATTGATATATTTTTTTCAAAATTTTATCATATCTTCTAATTTATATTTTATTCAAAAATAAAATAATTATTGTTTTCTTAAAAACGCATAAAATCGTATTATAATATCGACAGAGACAAATAATAAAATAGAATATTAAAATCAAGACGTGTCTCGTTGTATTGCGCAAGTACTCTTCTAATATAATATAATGAGTATTTTTTAATGATTATTTACATGAAATATATATTTGGATCATTGACTTAGAAAGGAAGAGTTGCATTTGTGTTGTTCAACCCAAAATAAAAGTTATTTTCTTAAAGTGGAAACCATGTGTTAAATTCAAACTTATACTTAATTATTGTGTACTCTCCATCAATAAGTAAACTAAATTGATAATTGATAAATATAAAAATATAGTATAGGAGTTGTTTGACGGTTGCTAAATGGTTCGATACAGAACGATTAAGTAGTCAAAATAATTAAGAGACTTTTATAATATAGCATAAAATGAAATATAGTTGTTTGATAATTATTCATAATGAAATTAAGACGTTGAATGGTTAAGTGAAACCTAAAATACAAAATCATTTAAAAAGGTTTAAAATTATTAAAAGACAAATTTTTTTTATCAAATAAGATTTATCTTTTAACAATTTAAAATATCAAGAGAATAAAAAAAACGCGTGACAAGATTTGATTTGTTAAGAATCGTCTAAATGGCATGTATAATAGTATTGACATTATTTAAACGGCACGTGTCAACATGCGAAGTTGAAGGCTAGAAATGATGGTTTTG